AAATAAGAGTTTAAGAGGATGTAATCAACTTGGCATTTGAAATGGTTTGAATTAGAATTACTGAGATCAGATTTTAAGGTTTATGGTTTAATATGGAAAAAAAAAATCAGACCCTGGTAGAAATGATTTGCACTATAACCACACTAATAAAGCCCATCCCCATTACATGATCTAATGTCATGAAACAGTGGGCTAGCTCAAAATTCAATTAGGCCCATAAGCCCATATATAGTGACCTGACCCGGACCGTAATTAGGTCTGGTGGCAAAGTTGTAAACAGACAAAAAGAGATTTAGGTTGATAAACCCTAGTTTCTTTTTCTCTACTTCCATTGCAGCGAACTACGATTTTGCCGCCGTAGAACTTCCGATTCCTTCAGTCGCCGTTCAATTGCTTCGTCGCCTCCGGTAATTTCGTTTTCTTCTCTACTTATTTCTCTTGTTCCTTCTGCTTCGTCTCTATATCCCGCTTCTAGGGTTTTACTTCAGCTTCTGTTTGTTTCTATGAATCGAATCAGAAATAAGAATCCTCGGTCTTAATTTTTCATTTTTGATTCTTGGGTTTCGCTAAAGTTGTTCAATTTTGAGTTATTCATGATTACTCTTCACTGTAATTTTTTTTTTTTCTCAATCTGAGACTTGTTTGTTTGGTAGAAACAGAGAATGGCTGGGGAAGAAGCTAAGATAATGGTTGAAGAAGAAGCTAAGGGTTTGGATTACATACCTGAGGTGATACTGAAGAAGAGGAAGAACAGAGATGAGCTTGCTTTTATCAGAAAGAAGCAACTAGAGTTGGGAAATTTCATCAAGAAGAAAAAGAAAGTTGCTGATATCAAACGGCCTGAAGATTTCGTGCTAGAGTTCAGGGCTAAGGTACATCTTAAAGTTCTGACTTTGCATATATAGACTTGTCTACATTTTAGAATTTGTAGTTAGACACCTCTAGGTTTCGGTTCATGTGTAGTTGAAGTTACCAAATTTATGTCTTTGTCTCTGTTTCTTAGACTGTATCTGTTCTACAAATAAGAAGTGTGTTTCTCCCTTGAGATTTATCATTGGTTTACAAGGTTGTGTTCACAACTTGCTGAATTCTCTGTAATGACTGTTTCTTCTTTGTTACTTTTGTTACCATTAGGAATTAGATCTTATCCGGATGAAGCAGAGAGTAAAGAGGCCAAAGTCAACTCCTCCACCAGTAAAATCAAACCTCGTTTTCATCGTTCGCATACAAGGGTAATTGATATTCCCCGACAGTTTTAGTTTGGCTTTGGAATTTGATCTCTGTCTCTGCCAAGTTTTCTCATTTCTTCTCTTTCTGGTGACCAGCAAGAATGATATGTGCCCAAAGACCAAGAAGATTCTTAACAGTTTGCGACTAAGGAGCACCTTTACTGGTGTATTTGCCAAAGCAACTGATGGTTTGTTCGAAAAGCTTCTGAAAGTTCAGCCTTACGTCACTTATGGGTATGTAAATGAAAAATCCTCTTTTTCAATCTTTCCTTGTTTATCTGAACAAAAACACGCCTGAACCGTCCCTAATCTGTTGTTTGATTTCTCTTATGAGCTGACCATTGTTTGCCATTCTTGCTTGAAGTTACCCGAATGAAAAGAGTGTTAAGGACCTCATATACAAAAAGGGTTACACAATAATAGAGGGGAATCCTGTTCCTCTTACCGACAACAACATAATCGAACAGGTAAAGGTTCCAACTGTTCAAGCATTAGAGCGCTTATTTCAGATAGTAACCATACTGTTCTTAATCATTCCGACTTGTGTTGCCCTAGGCTCTAGGAGAACACAAAATGTTTGGCATAGAAGACCTAGTGAATGAGGTAGCAAGGGTGGGTGATCATTTCAGAGAAGTTATGAGATTCTTGGGACCCATGAAACTCAACAAACCGGAGGCCGGTGTTTTGCACGGGAAGAAACAAGTTTTCAGCGAAGGAGGAGATACTGGAAACCGCGAAGATAAGATCAACGATCTCATCGTCAAAATGAATTAGAAGCATCGATGAAATCGCTAGCTACTTGTTCTGTTTTCCTTAATATCTGTATGCTAAAAACCAATAACCTGAAACGCTTTTGCAATTTTGATATAAGGGCATAAACGCTTTTGCAATTTTATAACCATCACAGTCACAGGCTTGAGAGATTATATTATACACATGTGGTAATGCAAACAGAGTAACATAGCGAATGTTTTTGTCTTTTATCTTCTGAAGCTTCTCTTCTCTCTGGGTGCTTCATCTTCCTCCGGTAGCTTCACGATTGTGTATGTTCCTGCTCCGATTAATGCACCAAGAATTGGAGCAGTAAGGTAAATCCAAATAGCTCTGTAATTGTTTGCTGCAATGGCTGGGCCCAGTGTTCTTACAGGATTCATTGAAGCAGAAGTTGCTGGTCTGTTTCACATAAACAACATCATGACACATGAAATGGAGATTTTGGTACTATATTTAGATCCATCTTCTGATTATGATTTACCCAGCTATGAGTATGTTAAGCATGACCGTTGCTCCTACCGCAATTCCCGCCAACTCTCCCACCTGTAATTTTATGATTTAACTTTTCAGACACAAACAAGATTTTCAATATTCTTCAAAATGTTATTGTTTAGTAAAAAATTTACAGCTCTAGTGTCGGTGGCTACGGCAGTGACAACAAACATAAGGTTGAAGCTGATAATGAACTCCAAAGCGAAAGCTTGGCTAAGAGTCACCGTGGGAACCGTCACACCGCCGCTCATCGTCGGTTCAAACACTGCTTTTAATGCAAACGCTGCACACAACGACGCAATCACCTGAGCTCCGATATACACCGGCACCTAAAACAATGAATTATGAAGACACCAATAAAAAGATAACATCAGTTATTTCAATTGAAATC